TTCGTCTCCTGAACGATGCCAGACCACCATGATGCTCTGTTGAGGTCTAGGATTGTCTTGCGCGTGCCGCCCCTGGGTGGCTGCCGGTTCGTATTACCGAATGCCCACCAGGGGGAGCATTTGTCTCCCAAAAGGCCTCTGTACGCTGACTTCGATTTTGGTGTCAGGGATCACGCTACCCGCTTCCAACGGAGCTGTAATCACTCCTCTCTTCCCTTTTTCTATGAGGTTACGCTCGTGGCTGCCCAGGTGAGAGACGCGCACCAGCCCAGTGGGCCCCTGGGGCTGCGAGTCCGCCTCGCAACCACAGGGCTCCCGCGGGCCGCATGGAAGTCCGCGCCAACCAACGGGAGAGGGAGCGCCCATTCAAACTGGGTTCGCGCCACTCTCTTGGTTGGCCATCGCAAACAAAGGGCTGATTGGTCGCCGCAGGGATCGAGCGACCAATCCAAGTATGAGCACTCAAACAGGGTTTCGCGCCCTTCCATCTGATTGGGCGGCAAGGCTCTCCCATCCCTGGGCGCTGATTTGCGAAGATGGAACCCAGGGCTATCCTCCCATATAAAATGTAACCCTGTACCCCCTTCCAGTCCCGGGACGCCAAGCCCCAAAGTTAACCCCCCCGTATGTGTACTCATGCATGTCCCTGTGTCCTGTTAGTATCTCCCAGAGGGGGAGATGGTTATCAGTTCCCCAGCCCCCACCTGTATGTGTGTTTGTGTTGGGCTGGATGGAGACCCCCCTGTGGGGGTCGGTGCATAAAAAGCTGTGTGCCCAATAAACATTGTCAAACGTTGTATCGCGGAACTGTGTCCTGTTACTGGGGAAATGGTTCTGACCTACTCTAACCAAAGGGGATAACCAGCCAGGTTACCCAGGTCCCGCTACAACATTCTCTTCTGCATTTTACACAAATAAGTTGCAGTTTTATTGGAATTATTACAATCCTGATGTGGGTTGCAGAAGGAGAATATTTATAAATATCTTCTAAATCCATGTGCATGTTGTGAAATGTTTGTCACATTAGAGGGTCACAGATAGCACATGCCATTTTTTTTTCCATATATAATCTTTATTTCGCCAACAGCATGAAAAATTTGTATATTACATTCAGGTATTTATGCCAGGTATACATGTTATTACATTACGGGTATTGCTGCCATCATTTTGGTTCAGTGCGTTCAGTAGTTTCATTTTTCGGCATTTATTATATTTTATTACATACAGATATGAGCTAGTTAGTCGCCCCTTGGCTATGTTGGCTACGAACCATGATATGACCTGTATGCAGTAGGTTATGTGTCGGCATTTTGTTGGGGGGGGGATAGGAACACGGGGGGGACTATAACTTGGGAGTGGAGACCTAGAGTCCCCAACCTTGATACTCAGTATCTTTGCGTTCATGCTAGAGTTCTCGTGATTGGCAGTTTTCTTCCCTTATTTGCTATTTCTACAGTCAATCGGGTCTACTTAGTGGTTGGTAGTGTCTGAATTGGGTACTCTACGAGGGTGGGAGCTCATGGCATAAGGTTCCAGCTTGCCCATTCTTTATCGTGCTTATTTTCCTGTCCCTGCACCCTGCTAGCCATCCTCTCATAGGAGCTTATGACATCCAATCCATCTGTAATTGTCGCCATGGTTGGTACTGTTTTGCTTTTCCAGTTTTGGGCTAGTAGGATTTTTGCTACTGTAAGTATGTTTATTAGTACTTTCTTGTGGGGGTGCAGTGAGAGTCCAGGTATCATGTGTAGCAAGTAGTATTCTGGTCGCAACTGAATAAGGAGGCCTGTAGTGCTCGAAATAAGGTTTTGTATCTGTGTCCAAAATGCACCCAATACATGACAGTCCCAGAACATGTGTATTATGGTACCCGCTCCCCCCTCACAGCGCCAGCAGAGCTCAGATGAACCCTTGTAAATTTTTGCCAGTCTATGTGGGACCAGGTACCATCTCATGGCTATTTTGCAGTATGCTTCTCACAGCGAGAGGCTCTTGGATGCGCTCTTTGTGTTGGATAGTACCTCGTACCATTGTGCCAGAGTCAGTTGGTGGCCTAGCTCTCTCTCCCACTGTTTCATATATGATCTTTCCTTACACGATTGGGCCTCCAGAAGGACAGTAGCACAGGGCAAAGGTTTCCCAAGCTTAGTGGTGAGGACCCGATTTAGTAGCTGGGGTGGGTCTTTGGTCCCTTCCCTTGTTTTTCGTGTGTGAGGTAGTAGTATGTTTTTTGTTCTAAGATAGAGGTACATGTCCCTTTGGGGTAGAGAAAATTCCTGCTGGAGGTCAGGGAATGTTTTGATCTCATTTTATTCCAGTAGGTCCTTTACTTTATGTATGCCCCTGGCTATCCAACCTGCTATGGGTAGGTCTGGAGAGAATATGGTCAGGATCTCTAGTGGCGCTTCTCTGAAGAGCAAGTTTGGGTCCAGAATCAGATGACTCCAGGTTCGCCACGAGCTCAGCAGGAACCGGGAGCACTGAGGGAGGTACGCCCTATCAGGGTTGCTGGGGGCACTTGCCCACAGTGTGTGGGACGTGTTTTGTGGGTGCAGGTAGGCATCTTCCAGTGTCAGCCACAGTGGCTTTTGGGAACTGTCCCGAAGTCTCAGTATGTGTACTCCCTGTGCTAGAGTTGAAGCCCTGTAGTACGTTTTAATGTCAGGCAGGCCCAGGTCCCCTTTGGTGAAGGTAAAGCTTAGGTTGCGCTGGGCCACTCTTGGGGGTTTTCACTTCCAGACATGCACATTTATGACAGATTGCATTAGTTTGATCAGTTTGTTAGGTAGTGTTATTGGTATCATGCAGAAGAGGTATAGTATGTGGGGCAGAGTCATCATTTTAATCGTGTTTACCAGGCCCATCCAGCAGATCTCTAGGTTTTCCCATTGTTCTAGGGTCGTTTTTAGTTTGTTCACTACAGGGTAATGGTTTTCTTTAAGAATGGTCTGGTGGGTTTTTGTTAGTTTGATCCTCAGGTAAGTAAGGCATGATTTTCGTCAGTCAAAGGTGTAATCGGAGGATAGCAGTGTTTGCGTTTGGTGTGGTAGGTTGATCGGTAGTGCTTGTGTCTTAATAGTGTTATTCTTGTAGTATGAAACCCTTCCATACTATCTGAGTAGTTCTAGAAGTGCTGGAATGGAACTGATGGGTTGTGTTATGAACATGAGTATGTCGTCGGCAAATAAAGCCAACTTCTGCATACCCCCTGGAATTGGCAGTCCTCTAATCAGTGTGTTATCGTATATGAGTCGCGTCAAGAGTTCGAGACATAGCATAAAGATGAGTGGTGACAGTGGGCAACCCTGGCGCGTGCCATTGTGTATTGTAAAGGGTGCTGACAAGAAGCCGGTACTGAAGACCTTTGCTGATGGACAGTGATAAAGGGCCATGATACTTTTTAGGAAGGCTGGTGGAAGACCCATTTTGGCCAGGGTTTGTTCCATGTATCCCCAGTGCAAGTGGTCAAACGCCTTTTCGGCGTCCAATGCCAGCACCAGGCCCTGTTGAGAGGAGTGGTTTGCCCAGTCAATGAGGTCTAGAAAGTGGCGGGTGTTGTCCCCCACTTGCCTACCCAGCACAAACTCCGCCTGCTCAGCGGAGATAAGTGTGGGAAAGAGTGCTTAGACCCTTGTAGCTAACATTTTAGCGTATAATTTAGTGTCCGAGTTGAGGAGAGATATTGGTCTCAGGTTGGCACACTGATTAGGAGGTTTGTTAGGTTTAGGTAATGTGACAATAAAAGCTTCCAGCATTTGCACATGCCATTTTTGAGTTTGTAACTTGTTTGTTTATATATTTATGTATTTTTATTTATTGCTAGGTCTCGGTCAGTTTTGGATATTGGAGTAACCAACCATTCAATTTACCCCAGAAAGGTTTATATTTAAATACAGCCAACACGTTATCTCACATGGGATATATTAAGCTTTTTTACATGGTCATCAGTCCCTGGGATTTAGCAGAAATATTTTATCAAAAATTGTTTATTTGAGTATTGTTACTGCAATATAAACCTCATTTGACATTTGGCTAGATCTCCGTCATGTAGTAGTGGCCCAGGGTAAAGGGCGATCAGGTATGTATGAAGTTACAGGATTACATTAAAGACAGGATCTTTTTTAATTTTTCAAATTTGGAATTTTAATGCTGGATTTCTGAGTGAATTTGGAGAATTATTGGAGTTCAGAAATGCAGTAACACAAATCCTATTAAGAACCTTTGGTGCCTCCTCAAGCAAAAGATCTGAGGGTGGGAGGCAGTTTACATCCAAACAGCAGCTCTGGGAGGCTATTCTGACATCTTGCAAACATATTCAAGCAGAAACTGTCCAAAAACTCACAAGTTCAATGGATGCAAGACTTGTGAAGCTGCTATGAAATAAAGGGTC